CTTATATCCAGCATAACTAATATTCCCTGATTATTCCAGTTACAGATGCTACAAACATGGCAAATATACCTTAAGAGGTTTATAACTTGCTCCACTTGCATGGACCCATTATAGACTTTTCTGCTCAGATTTTGAGATGCTGCACAATGATTCCCATTCCCAAAGATCACACATCTTGAGAACTCTAATCACGTATTGGTAGTTGATGTGAGTCCATAAGAATTAAAATGTGTGAAGAACAGATTGCTTAGAAATTCCTGTGGTTAGAGATTATGCCCTTGAGCCACTGTCCTCCCACACTGGGCTGTCGTTGCCAGATACACACATGAAAGATAGAAACTATTGTATTGCATTGTAACTGTCCTGTCACCACCTCACTCTCCTTTCTTGTCCTGCCCCCTTTGCTCAGATCTTCAGAACTCCTCGTCCTGCCTTATTCCCAGGGTTTAGCTCCCACACAGTCTTGATCTTTCCATCAATTACTCATCTTCTAGATTTTTCCTTCCTCCAAATTTATCAGTCCTACAGGGCCCTGTTCTCTTCTGCGGAACGATCAACTCATATCTGCTAAAGTGCTTCCTCCATATCTTCCTGTAGAGATCATATTTGCACTTTAGTAGATACCGTATCTTAAGTCAGAAGAGAAGATAGAAGTGTAACGGGAACACTTGCTGAAGATAATATAGTTGGTTGTGAAGCTGGAACTTAGAGCACTAATTTTTACAGTCACTTAGTTCACCTATAAATAACGCTGGACTTGCCTATTATTTTGCAGCTTTATGACTTAAGGCATTGTTTGTCATGAGAAAACACTGTTAGAGGCAAATGAATGGTTAATATTAATATTATTTTGTTCCTATAGCTGATTTCCTTCAAAGTCATGGAGGAATGGGCTAAAATATGTCTCTCATTTCCATTTGTTAATTCCTTTATTTCTTTGTTTATACTCTACTCTGCTCCTTATCGTATCCGGCTCTATATATGTCTCGTGGCAAATGTGGGAATTGGGTATGATTTGCTTTATTGATATCATAATATATTAGAAACAGGTTAAAATATGGAAACTTTTCTCCATGTTTATAAAGAGTATGATTGTTATTGATGTGATATTTCCAACTTATATGTTTGCTGCCCTCTTTTTCTTAAAGTAGAACTTAAAAAGCAAATTATTAGGTTATCTCACCAGAATATTTTAATTGAAAAAATTATACATCTATGCATGTAATTCATAGCTCTGACTTACTATCATATAATTTTCATAACATTGTCAAGGAGATTTCGGGCCTATCCACAGTTAGCAGCAATAAATTAAACCAAATAAGAATCATATATATTTCTTGATACAGCTTGAACAACTGTATTTCAACATGCAGAAACACGCAGAGCCTACCCTACTTTAATAATATAGATAATGTGGCATTTAGAGATTTTCTTGATTAAAAGCCAAGAATCTTATTTGCATTTCTTTGAAGGAAAAAACTGTAATGAGGACAAAGTATTGGCAAAATTATGGACCGAACAGAGAAGAGATTATAATTACAGACTTGAGAGTTCAGTTCAGGATGTGTATGTATGTTGCTTCTTAAATGATGCTTTGAGTAGAGATTACTCATCCATTTGATTTGGGATCTACACACCCCAGTTCTGTTCCCTGGAAAGTTAGAATTTCTCCCAGTAATTCAGACTCTTAAACATATGCACTCAGGCTTGGTTCTTCACAGTCCCTGAAAAATTGTTTCTTCTGTTAGTCTGTCATCCTTTATTCTCCCTTCCTCTGATTTTTCTTTCATCAGTTACACCTGAATACATTTTCCAAACTACATTCACTGACCAAAAAAAAAAACTTTCCATCAACATTTTTTTAGTCATTCAAACCATTATCTTATTATGTGGCAACTCTTTTATACAGTAACATGAATGTGGCTCAATTTTGACTCTAAAATGAGAAGAAATAAAAATTTATAATAGCAGTATCTATTTGTGATAAATAATATTTTTACAACTTGATCACTTCCCAAAACCTATTTTTACAGTTGATTTAAGTAGTTGGCAGTTGTTTTCTTATTTGAGTGTTGTACCTAACAAACTAATATTTGGAGAGTAATTTTATTAATCATTTATATTTCAACTTATTTCTGAAACTGAATTTCATTATATGTTATACTTTGCATCCTAATACTAAAATCGACATAAAGCATTACGAGCAAAGTTTATACTAAGAATCAATTTTATATCAAATGCAAATAACAGAATAATTAAAGCAATTTTTAAAAAGAATAAAGTCGGATGATTTACACTTCCTGATTTCAAGACTTACTATAGGGCCAGCCCCATGGCTTAGCGGTCAAGTGCGCGTGCTCCACTGCTGGCAGCCCGGGTTCAGATCCTGGGCGTGCACCGACGCACCGCTTCTCCGGCCATGCTGAGGCCACGTCCCACATAAGGCAACTTGAAGGCTGTGCAACTATGACATACAACTATCTACTAGTGCTTTGGGGGGAAAAAATAAATAAATAAATAAAAATTTATTAAAAAAAAAAGACTTACTATAGAACTGCGGTAATCAAGACTGTGGACTACTGTAAGGATAGGCATATAGATCAGTGGAACAGGCTAGAGAGACTAGAATTCAACCCTCACATATGCGGCCACTTAATTTTCAACAAAACTACCAAGGCAATTCAATGGGAAAAGGAAAGTCTTTTCAATAAATGGTGCTGAGAAAACTGAATATCCTTATAGAGAGGAATAAACATTTACCCTTATCTCATACAATACGTAAGAATTAGCTTGAAATGTATTGCAGACCTAAATATAAAGGCTAAAACTGTAAAACTTGTAGAAGAAAATATAGGAGGAAATCTTGGCAGCCTTGTGGTAGGCAAATATTTCTTTGATAGGCACAAAAAGTACAAACCATTTTTAAAAATGATAAATTGGACTTTTTTAAATTAAAAAGGTTTTGCTCTTTGAAAGACACCATTAAGAATAAAGAGGCAAGTCACAGAATGGGAGAAAATAATGACAATACATATTGTCAAAGGATGTATCTTCAGAATATATAAAGAACTCTTATAACTCAATAATAAGAAGACAAACAACCTAATTAAATAATGAGCAAAAGATTTGAACACACACTTTAAAAAAGAAGTGAATGGCCAATAAGTGCATTAAAAAAATATATCATTAGTCATCAGAGAAATGCAAACCTAGCATATAACCCAGCCATTCCAATATTAAGTTTACCCAAGAGAAGTGAGAACATATGTCCACACAAAAACTTGTACGTGGATGTTAATAACAACTTTATTCTCAAAAGCCAGAAACTGGAAACAACCCAGGTGTCCATCAACAGGAGAATGGATAAACAAATTGTGGATATTTATATAATAGAATTTTGCCAGTAATACAAGGAACAAACAACAGATATAGCCAACAACATGGAGGTATCACAAAAATATGCTGAATGAAAGACATCAGACATGAAAGAGTGAAATTCTAGAAAATGCAGACTAATCTATACTGGCAGAAAGCAGATCTGTGATAGTCTGGGGTCAGGATACAGATAGAGATTGACCATCCAGAGGCACAAGGACATTTTTGGTGGTGGTGGAAATATTCTATATCTGGATTGTGGTGCTGGTTACACAGGTGTATACATTACTCAAAACTCACTGAGTTGTATGCTTTAAATGAGTGTAGTTATTATACATAAATTATACCTCAATGAAGCTAATTTGAAGTATTTAGTGGTTTATTTAAACCTTATGTTCTGCTTTTAAGAAAGAGAAATTAATATCTTCTGCCATGCGCTACCATCCTCCCTACCCCATCTCTATTTAAAAGATCAAAATTGTATATGAATTTGATAAGTATATAAAATGAGCATAGGGCCGGCCCCGTGGCTTGGCGGTTGGGTGCGCGCGCTCTGCTGCTGGCGGCCCGGGTTCGGATCCCGGGCGCGCACCGACACACTGCTTCTCCCGCCATGCTGAGGCCGCGTCCCACGTACGGCAGCTGGAGGGATGTGCAGCTATGACATACAGCTGTCTACTGGGGCTTTGAGGGAAAAAATAAATAAAATTAAAAAATAATAATAATAAAATGAGCATAAACAATCAGAACTATTTATCATGTAAAGTTATCGGAGATTGAGAGGCTCAGGAGCCACCTGGTGCAATAGGAAGCACACAGAATTTGAAGCACAAAGGCTTGGTTTCATGTCCCAACGCTGCCTCTTACGATATCTCTTAAACTTTGAGAGTATCAAGTATCTGGTTTGAAAAATGAGAGTATTATTTATTACCAAAAATTTTGTCTGTTTCAGGATCAAATGAAATAACAAATGCAAAGGCACTTTGTAAACACAACAAGTCCATGTAGTTATCAGCTCATAACTACTTGCAAGTAAAAATTATAAATAAAAGTTAGTTTCATTTTGCCCATGGACTCTGAGAGGGCAAAAAATATGTCATTTTCAACCAGAAATCTCCAGCACCTAGTCTAGCACCTCGCATATTTAGGCACTAAATACATTTTGGCTGAATTAATTTCAATTCCTGTTTCTGAATTCCAGCATTTTTATCAACATATTCAGAGAAATTAAAGTGTGTGGAGCCATGGACTGTTTTCTCTAAGCCTAGAGCCCAAACACAAAATGCTTATAAGAAGAGATATTAGAAGTCAAAACTTTATACTGACAACTTTAATGTTCAAATACAAATATGTTAGTACCTATTTTCTTCTGACATCATAAAGGAACCGATCACAAAAGACATGAGCTTAAGCTGTCCACTTATCCTGGCATAATAAGTCCCCTGGTTTGGAGAATCAAGTCCTTGTGGAATTAAGCTTCACTGCTTCTAATCCATGTATAACTTCCTATTAAAGGTGAAATCTAATAAAGAACTAGCCATGAGAGGAAACATAAGATGAAGTCAAGTGGATCATCACCTTCTTTATATCTTAAGAAGTTAATGATTCAAACCTTTTTTTGGTAGAAGACTCCTGAATATCCTCTCCACTCCCTACCCCAATCCCATGATGTTTGGGGTAGGCAGCAGCTGTGCAACTCCAAAAGGTGGCTGGGCTGACACCAACACCATTGCTACTGACACTTTCCCAGTAAGTTTTATTTCGTTAATCTTGATGCCACATATGCACCCTTTCTCTAGCTAGTAGGCAGCCAGAACATAACAACTTGCAAAGGCAAAGCCATTACTGGGATGATACAAGAAGAGAGTTATGGATGTTCTTTGTCTCCTCTGCACCTTAGAAGTGAGTGTAACCAATGCTTTTGGGGGACTATAAGGAGAGTACAACTTTCACCTTCTCTGGGATGGAGAACAGAGTGGATATGTTGCCTCTGGGTTCAATATTTGTTTCTGGAAAATCTGTCTTTCCATTTTACTGTCATCCTCTAATAAACTGATGCATCCACTTTGCAAAATATAAGACTATGGAATTATATGTGCTTGTAAACACACTTTTGGATGAATGGTACTCTTCATTTTTATCTCATTAATTTTCGGGTTTCAACACAATTTTTTTTAAGTAAGGATTTAAACATAAAACAATAACCCTAGGTAAAGAACTAAGGGATTTTGATATTTCATAGTTATTCTTTCTATTTTTAATAGTTGTTTGCGGGCCGGCTCCGTGGCTTAGCGGTTAAGTGCGTGCGCTCTGATGCTGGCAGCCCGGGTTCGGATCCCGGGCGCGCCCCGAGGCACCACATCTCCGTCCAACCCGAGGCCGAGTCCCGCGTACAGCAACTGGAAGGATGTGAACCTACGACATACAACTATCTACTGGGGCTTTGGGGGGAAAAAATGAATAAATAAAATCTTTAAAAAAAAAAAAAAAATAGTTGTTTGACCCTTACAAATGTTTATAATAGTCAGCTACTATTAATATTCCTGTTTTCTCTCTAATTTGTTATAAAAATTGTAACTTTAATACAATGATGCATTACATTGTAATCATGAGAAACTATAATGATATCTTTATATTTGAACCTAAATTACAATATGAATTTGTGAGATCTTGTTTTTATATTAACTTCTATATTTTGTAATGTATGTGGTACGTGTAGATATATATATATGTTTATTGTAGATACATTTGACTACATTTGTATGTTCACAGAGATTTATATAGAGGCATTAAAAAAACAAACAGGCATAGTCGGTCATGGGTGTTCGTTATATATAAAGGTTATTGGGGATACAAAGATATAAAAGATAGAAGAACCTAGTAATTGCCTTTAAGATCAGAGCACAAAGCATTAGTTTGGATTTTACAAGGCCAGCCAGCAACAAAAGAGCAGTAATTTATGAGCTCAGCGTAAAAGAATAGCATAATTGCATTAAAAATTAATGCTAATGAACACTAAAATGGGGAAGGTGGTTATGATGAAAGTTTGTATTCATCTTCTCTGGTTTGAGTGATGGCTAGTGGCTTGATTAATGGCTTAATTTCTATCAATTAGCGGGGAAAAATCTCCTGCGAGACAAGGGTAAATTGAGCATTGAATTACATATCTTGCTTTTGTGTGCTAAGAAAAAAGAGCTGCGTATCTGTGATATTAGCCACAGTGACAAATGTGGTGTGCCCTGCGATGTCTGCATTAGCTCTCCTGACAGGCGAATTGTGTGTGGTTACGGGGTGTTTGGAGATGGCTGGCAGACAGCATTCGCTGCAGGTTCCTTAGAAACATACAACTCTTCCATCTACAGAATTTTAATTAGAGTCAATAAGAATTCTAGAATTAAAATGGACAGCAAACACAACTTCAGAGTCTATATTCTGCCCTATTAATCTAGTATACCTCAAATTATATTCCTTTTATTCTATTAAAGTAAGAAAACTTCCAGTAGCTTTAGCTTTGTTGGAATAATTATTTCTTACCACTCTAATAAAGTAGATTTGACTACCCATCTTTATTACATTTGATACAAGCGTAAGGCAATAGTCCATACATTGGACTACGTAGTGGTTATTGGTTTAGCCAAATTCACAGAAACCATTCTAGTTTTTTTGTAACAACAATTGCTACACAATAAATAAAGAACAGCTCTTAAGTGATAATTTACTACTCAGGTTGTTTTCAGGCTTAAATAAAAGAATGCTATGTTTTCTAAAAACTTTATTTTTTTTATTCTTTAATAAAGGTTTTCCATTTGGCATATATAATTCTTTAAAACTGTTTCAAGTGGGAAAGATTCTGAAAATATACATCTGTAATCTTGCTCAAGATAATGCCAGAAAACCAAGATAATATATATGGCATCTCCTCTACAAATAAAGCTACATTGTATTTTACTAAATAAATAAGCATGAAAATGCAAAATAAGAACAATACCAAGAACATTTATTATTTCTAATAAATGGATGAAAAGGAGGAAAGAGATAATTTGTTGCTTGGCAGGTGTGGGTAAAGAGTTTATTTGACTCAGAAATAATGACTGGATCACAGTTTAGGGATTGGATCCCATTTCTGCCACCAACTAGCCATGTGACCTTGGCCAAGTTACTTAGCCTCAGTTTCTTATCTATACAATGAGAATAATAATAGTACTGTCTCTCCTGGTTATGATGGTTAAGTGAGGTGATCCGTGTGAAGTGCTTAGGGCAGAGTGCCATAAATGTAAGCTTCTCTTACTGCTTCTGCTACCAGAACAGCTCATCTGGCCTTCTTAACAACCATTTAAATGAAAAATTACCCTCTATGACCTTCCTCACTAGAAAGGCATTCCAAATATTGATGATCTAAACAAAATGTCTGTAGACCTACAGACACTCAAGTAAAATATGTTTGCTTTATTTCATGATTTCTACCATATAACTACCATTTTGGGGAGTTTGTGTTACTAGACATCCATTAGGAAGTGACAGGACGTGCTGTCTCGAGTCACCGGAGCCTGGAAGTCCATGAGTCAGCAGAGCCCCACTTCCCCCACTCAACCTGCAGCATTCAGTGCTGGCCCCGGGGTCATGGTGAGTGATAAAGTTCAGCTGGGCTTTTGTGCCTTCTCAGAGATGTTCATAGGCTTGTCCCCTCTTCCCATCATTCCCACAGTCCTGCCACATCACAGGTGATGCCACAAGAGGTGTAAACTAAAGCTAGTTACTACCTGGCTGAACTCAAAAAAGGTTGCCAGCTTTAAACCATATGGTCAGAAATTGAGTGGTTTATATACAAACTTTTAGCCAATTTCCATGTCTTTAGTACTCTTAGCACTCTAGTACTGTTACTAGTAATAGCTATCATTTATTAAGTGCATTTAATGCTTCATTGACCCTGTGCTGAGCACAGATATCATCTCCCATATTTTCATGGCTTGCTCCTTCACATGACTCCTCTCTGCTGAAATAACCACTGTGTCAGGGAGTTCTTTCCTGGTTACCCCACCTGAAATAGCCCCACCTTTCTCCTTTCTCGCCTCTACCCTGCTCTATTTTCCTTATGTATTGTTTATTTATGTGTTTATTATTTGTCTCTCCCATTAAAATATAAGCTCCATAAGAGAAGAAACTCTTGTTTCTAAATGCTGGTATGTGAATCCTAAATCCTAGCCTGGTACATTGAATGTGCTCAAATATTTGAAAAGAAGAAAGGAGAGAGATGGGGAGAGAGGGAGGGAAAAAGTCAAGCTCTCGACCATCATATGATGTTTGTGCTGTCATCCCCATGCCAGAGTAGAGAAAACTGAAACTGTCACAGCTTGAACCCTCCCCAAGGTCACACAGCTAGTAAGTAGCAGAGACAGGGGTTAACCCAGATATTCTGAACCCAGAGCTGTTAAAACTAACCACTTAGAGACATTTAATGTTTTAAATTACAAAAATTTCTTCTACTTTGACATTTTTCCCCATGAAGTTTTATTTTTTTAATGGTTACTTTAATGTCCTCTAATTTTCAGTTTTTCAACAAATGTTTATTGACTGCTTACTGAATAATAGAGCACACTACCCTAAGTCCTGGAGTTGACACAAAAAGGTTTGTCCTCTCTAGCTGGAGAAATGAAGCTTTCACTCATGAAGAGATTAATATCAGTGCAAGGCAACCTATGCTAAGAGCCAAATGAAGAGACCCCTTTTCTCACAGGCAAGGGAAGGAAGGCATCATCAGAGGTGGGCATTAGGCCTGGCCTTAAATGACAGGGAAGATTCAGGGAAGGTCAGCACATTCTGGGTGAGAGGCGCTAAATGAGGTACTCAGTGTGGATTTTGTTTTTAATAAAGCCTAGCCTGATGCTCAATTCACTTGCATTAATAAAATGTTTATCAAGGGCCTGCCCGGAGGCGTAGTGGTTAAGTTTGGCGCACTCTGCTTCGGCGGCCCAGGTTCACGGGCTCGGATCCCAGGCGTGGACCTACACCACTCGTCAGCCATGCTGTCGTAGCGTCCCACATTCAAAATAGAGGAAGATTGGCACAGATGTTAGCTCAGGGCGAATCTTCCTCAGCAAAAAAGAAAATGTTTATCAGAAATTCTTTACTGGTACAGTCATGTTAAAGTTCTTCTTATTATTTAATTTGATATAGAAAACAGTTTAATATAAGATGAATCTGTCTTGGACCCCATCCAAGGGGGGTTGTTACTGGAGACACTTCAGAAGCCTCATTGGCATATTTGACTTGGTACTGTATTGTAAGCTTCCAGAACAAGCCACATTCTACTTAAGAAGTTTTTTCATCTTCCAGGTTATTTGTGGATATCAGTTCTGGAAATTTGTGCCAGGGATGATATGGGACTTATGAACAACCTTAAAGTGTTGGGGTTGGATGGATTTCTAATATATACCATGTATGCTCTATGAAAGAGACTTATTGAAAATGAACTTATTGAAAGGGAAAACAGTGGCTGTGTTTCATTAAAATTTGTGTTCGTGAGAAATTGTTTTAATAACTTTAGAATTCCAAGTAAGCTTTATAGGATGTTTTACTTGTTTACAGATTTTATTGATAGCCATATTTGTTTATTTATTTGTTGAATAGCCAGTTATTGTTTGCTTTTTTTTATTCTTGTAAAGCACTTGAAAATGCTTTACATTTCAGTATCTGAATCTTTTGTTTTATATATATATAGCGTACCATAAACAGGAATTTCACGGATGTTT